CCGGCTGCCCCCGCGCCCGCCAGCGCCGCCATGCCCGCCAGCGCCACTGTGACCACCGGTGTCACCGTCCCTGGCAGCGACCCCGTGACCACCGGCACCACCGTGTCCGCCGGCGTCACCGTGCCCCCCAGTGTCACCACGACGGCCAGTGGCACCAAAGCCACTGGTGTCACCGCGGGCTGCCAGCGTCACCACGAGAGCCAGCGTCACTGGGAGCGGCAGCGTGAGCGCCGGTGTCACCATCACCGGCGGTGCCACCGCGACCACCAGTGCCCCCAGTGCCCCCAGTGCCCCCATGACCAACGGTGTGAGCGTGAGGAGCAGGGTCCCCATCGCCACCAGTGCCACCAGCGTGAGCACGACCAGTGCCACCAGTGCGAGCACAACCACCAGTGCCACCAGTGTGAACATGCCCACCAGTGTCACCAGTGCCCCCAGTGCCACCAGTGCCGCCAGTGTGAGCATGACCAGTGCCATCAGCATGACCACCAGTGCCACCAGTGTCACCAGTGTGAGCACGACCAGTGCCACCAGTGCCACCAGTGTGAGCATGACCCCCAGTGCCACCAGTGTCCCCATGACCACCAGTGTCACCAGTGCAAACGGGCCCACCAGTACCACCAGTGCCCCCATGACCAGCAGTGTGAGCATGAGCACCAGTGCCCCCAGTGTCACCAGTGCCCCCAGTGCCCCCAGTGCCACCAGTGTGAGCATGACCAGTGCCATCAGCATGACCACCAGTGCCCCCAGTGTCACCAGTGCCACCAGTGTGAGCATGACCAGTGGCATCGGCATGACCACCAGTGCCACCAGTACCACCAATGTCACCAGTGCCATAAGTGTCACTGGTGCCACCAGTGCTCCCAGTTTGAGCATGACCACCAGCATCACCAGTGTGAGCGTGCCCCCAGTCCCACCAATGCCCCCAGTCCCACCAGTACGACCATGACCAGTGCCCCCAGAACCACCAGCATCACCAGTGTGAGTGTGCCACCAGTGCCACCAGTGCCACCAGTGCCCCCAGCACCACCAGTACCACCAGTGTGAGCATGCCCCCAGCACCACCAGTGCCCCCAGTCCCACCAGTATGACCACGACCAGTGCCCCCAGTGCCCCTGGTCCCACCAGTATCACCAGTGTGAGTGTGCCCAGTCCTACCAGTGCCCCCAGTCCCACCAGTGCCCCCAGCACCACCAGCACCACCAGCGCCACCAGTACAACCATGACCAGTGCCCCCAGCACCCACAGTCCC